GATCTTACAAAGCTTCAAACGACGTGTCGACTATTAAATCAGTCATAAACAATTTTGATAGTCGACGTAATCGTGACTAGTCGACTAATCGTGGCAGCCCTAGGCACACTAGTGCTAAAATGTCATTACAGCAACTCAAAATGGTACTCAATAGTTATTATGGTCCCCACATGCTTATATACATGATTGACAACGTTGGTGCTCCAAATGAGAAGACAGATGTTCTACAGGATTTAAGACAGGCAGGCACAGAGGCAGGTCAATCAATTCCTTCAAACTCAGGAACTGCCACCATACTCTTACATGAAGCTGGGCATTGTTGGGCACCATGAGGAACCCAGAAACCCCAGCACCAGCTCATGGTCTGACAATGGGTCCAAGGTTTTCATCCTGATGCTTGATGAAAGTCAGTCTTGCCTAGCCAGTAGAGGTCTGTGCGATATCCTCTTCAGACCACCACTGACCCACCAAAAAACTGGTCATGCTGAGCGATGTTACAGGCAGCATAACATTCTTCTTTGCTTCTCCCTGTGACCCTTTTGCATCTGTCACATGTGCACCTGACAACAGAGGTGCAGCTGCCAGTTATTATTCTTTTGAAAATGTCTGTCGGGCTCCACAGCGCTGGGCAATAAGCACACTAGCGAATGTCGGGGAAGTCATTTTGTAACTTTGTCAGCACTCATGCTATTCCTCCTTGCACAAGAGAGCAGATAACAGACCTTGCTGATGGGTTAAGGATTTTCGACGGGCCCCTCCTTCTCTCATCGGGTCACTGCCTGTCTCATGGAATCCCCTCCATGCTCTTGAGACTCTGCTGAAAGACACTCCTGGAGGAGTTGGACTACCTTTGTGACTTCTGTAGGGTCCAAGTATCACCTTGTGGCACCAGTAGGCACACTGACTCTAGCCCAATGCAAAACTCCTGAAACAACAGTCAGAAAAGATGAGGAGAGGAAAAATGTCAGTGGCTTCCACCTATAAAACCTTTCCTGTTTTGTCTCACAGTTGTCCATCTAGTACACATGTTGTTAATTTCATTAATTGTTCTTTTAAGTGAGCAGAGTAGCTTCTCAAAGCAGTTTCAAGATAATCTTGAATGGCATCATGATGAAACCAGGCTGATTAAACATTTCAAAATAGGCAGACATTAATCTACATATTTTTTTATTTATATGAAAGACAATTTATTAAATGACAGCATTGTGATGTGTTTAGCTCCAGCAGCAGTGTCACAGCTTCCTGCAGCCGCTTTGGACCTTCAGTCATCGGTTGGTCTTTCAGCTACCTCATCAGCTTCTCCTGGTGCCGAGTGCAGCAGCCGGCCACAGGTGGAAAAACCACGCCGCTCCAGCTTAGACAAGGAGATGAAGCACAGTCCAGACAGGGCAGGCAAGAGCCCTCCTCCTCCTCCTCCACGGAGGTCAGTTGATCACTGAGCATCAGGAAGGACTTTCTACTGGCTAAAATCACAATTCACCTAATATTTGTATTTGTTTTATTGTCTTCTCAGAATTCATGCTGTCACTTCAGGTCTCACAACAGGAAGGACAGGAGAGGTGGTCTTTGGAGCTAGGAAAGAGCCTGTTGGAGCCCAGGTTTGTTGTGCCTTCAGCTAAGACAGGTGTACCATGGACACGTCACCCTCCTGACATGAATAACTTTACACGCTAACTAGTGCCAAGTGGAAGTACATTATACATTTTCCCATAAAACTACTTTCTTAAAATACTGTCTTTTGTTTTTGAAATGTTTTACGTTATATAAAGAAGAGTCACAATAAAGAACAAGCTAGGAGAAAAGAATCAAAACAACTTGAACACTATTTTGTTGGATTCACTCATCCACTTTATTAAATTCAGGTGTTCCAATCACTTCCGTGGCCACAGCTATTTAGAATCAATCACCAAGCAGACTCGTGCAAAAGCACTACAAACATTTCTGAAGCTTTATATCACAAGTACAATGGAAAGTGTTGGATGCAGTGGGGTAAAGCATGCCACTGTACTCTTTTTTTTTTTTGACAACTTTATTTATGATTTTCCAATATGACCAAAGTACAGAAAAATACAAATCGAATCGCGATTACAAACACAGCCATTGTGAAACCAGTTGCGCCACACAGTGCAAACCAGTTGGATGCAGGAAAACGTGTAATCTATGGGCACAAACAAAAAAAACAAAACAACAACCCCCCAAAAAACAAAACAAACAAACAAAACAAAA